GTTTGACTAGAAACCAACAAAGGAAACTAAATTAAGCCAAAATTGTTTGGATCCTCAATTTAACCAGACATAAAAAAAGACCCAGTTGACCACTGTCTTTTTTTTTCGAGTCAAGCGGTGATTCAGGAGGAGGAATTGAAGTTTCAGAACAACTACATTGAACATGTGTTGTTACACTGACGAGAAAGAAACAACATCTACACATTATTTGCTAGGAGAAGAACAAAGTAAACACTCACCTAAAGCAGACATTACTCTGTCAAAGAAAATGTTGGACCAAAACTAGAACCCTAAAAGATACTCCCTCCGGTTTTTAATAAACTTCACACTTTCCTTTTTGGGACGGTCTAAAATAAACTTCACACTTCCTTATTTCCTTTTTTGGCAAAGAAATCTACATCAAAACAGTGCCAAACAGTGTCTCTACAGTGCCAAACAGTGTCAAACAGTACCTCAACAGTGTACTCTACAGTAAAGTCAAATTTCTTTCCTTATTTTGTGTGAAGTCAAACTGTAAAGATTAAAAAAAAACGGAGGTAGTAGAAATTAAGAGAGAGAGACAACATAGCAAAACTTTTGATTACTTATTATCTAGAGAACATGGCAATCATCAAAACTCTTGTCAGAGAAGAGAAAAGATTAGATCGTCCAGGAGCTTGCTGCCTAAGATTTCCGTAGCTAGGGCCAGCTCATGTTCCGTAGTGTCTCCACAGTCTACTTTATTAGCTTTAGAACTCTATTTATACTAAGGAATACTACGTATTTCCTTTGTTACATTAAACATTGCCAGTTTTTATTTAGTTGTCCCCATGAGTTTTGCCATTCTTTTCTAAAGTCAATAAACTGATATTGTACCTCTTTTCTCTATAAACTTCAACTTTACATATCTAAATTCTTATTACACAGGTAAGTCAAGTTTGATCAACTCTTATTAACGGAGTGAGTTACATTTATGGACAAAATTATTATTAGTTTTAGAAATTTTAAAGTGACAATTTAGTTACTTTAATTTTAGGATGTCACTACATGATAAGTTTAATGTCATTGCAAGTAAAACCACCGGTGTTACTAGCAATGACCGTTGACACCGACCAATGTGTCACGGCACCGTCGATAGAAAAATCTCTTTAGAAAATATTCAAGGCGACGATTGTTAGTAGTGACCAGGAGTGGAGGATAGTGGAGATATATTAAACAAACTTGAAATTTCGAAGGTGTTCATCCAATTTAAAAAGAACTAATCATATTTTTATCTATCACATAGTCTAGACTTTAGAAACCACATTTGTGTCATTCTTCTTGAGAAAATGGTCAAAATGGTAGATGCAGTTGTATCGACAGGAGTAAGCAGTAATTCATCTTACATTTGAAATTTTAAAGTACATGAACTTGTATTTTTATAGTCAATCAAGTACATTTTCTCAATCAGAACGTTAAAATAGCTGACCTAGCCAAGCTATCTATTTGTATTATACAGTTACAGTTCAAGTTATCAAATAAATTAATCTATAAATTCTATTTTTACCGTGCATCTAAAATTACCATTTTTAAATGTATATTTCTCTCATTTGTTCTCCCTGCTATCCCGTCAGCTTCTTCTTTTTGCTATATTTTATTTTCTGTCTCTTACTATAGTAAAGATGGACCGATAGCAAACAAAAGAAGAAGCCGGTGGGATAGCAGAGAGAGAAGACGAAAGAGAAGGAGAGCAACACGTGCAGAGTTAGAGTGGGCCAACCTAGGCTCTGGCCCACCTCAAATTAAAAAAAAAGCTTTAATTTTTAAGTAAAATTTTGTGTATTTTTTTTTCAAAAATATTCTTTGTACTGCTCCAGTCTGGCTCAGTGCCTTGGCTCCGCCCTTGGAGAGTAGACTAGAAAAATATAATATGAAGAGCGGGAGAAGGGATGGCATATGTGAGACATATAAAATGAAGAGCGAAGGTAGAAACGAGTGAACGGGAGGAAATTAGAGTTTATAAACTAATTATTGGAAAAATTGACAAGAATAATTCCACATTTCACCGGTCTTCTCATAATAATCCAACCTTTAAATAATCCCAAAATAATATCACCTTTGCACCCCATCGTCTTTCATTGGACCCTGACCATGTTTTTTACTCTTTTTTTGAAAATCATATAATAATCCCACCTTTCACTTTTTTATTATATCTTTATAAATGTGAGATTATTTATATAAGATTTTATAAAAGGTAAAAAAAAACTTGGTCAGGGTCCAATGAAAGAAGATGAAGTGCAAAGGTGGGATTATTTTGGGATTATTTAAAGGTGGGATTATTATGAGAAGACACGTGAAAAGTGGGATTATTCTTGTCAATTTTTCCTTAATTATTTGATGATTTGGAGTGCAACGATATATTACAAATTGATATTTTGGCCAGGTGAGCTATTTTAATGTTTTAAAAGAGCAAATGTACTTAACCGACATTAAAATGCAACTTCAATACTTCATGTACTTTTTAGTTTCAAGTGTAAGATGAAATACTACTTACTCCACTTGAAACAACTGTGTGTATCATTTTGACCATTTTGGTAACATATTCTTGCTAAAGATAAAATTATACGAAGGATATCAACTTTAAAGTTTAAAGTTAGGGAATTGTGGGTTCATAATTATGCTGGACTAAAAAGTTAAGGAGAGAATTTTTTTTTTGAAAGGAAAACTGATTATATTATATCAATCAAACTTCTCAACGTACTTCCCCTCTTACAATGCCAAACCTCCTTAACCAAAACAACCAAAACTCTAAGAGTACTTTCCCCCTTACAACGCCAAACCTCCTCATGAGGCTCCGCATAGCCCAAAGGCCCCCCCACTCTCTGGCTAGACTTAGAATAGACCACCCCAGAAGGAGCGAGACTATTCGCGAACCATGTGAGAGTTTTGAACCTTTTAACAGCCAAACAGGCCTTATCGCTTCCACCAAGAATAACATCCCAAACCAAGCAAGAAAAAACAAACATCAACCTACCGCTAGAGTTCAACAAAATGAGAAAAGCAGCGTGAGCACAGTAAAAGGATAAACAGCAAAAACAAATAAAGTCTTCATGGCTCTCGGCCTTATTTAACTCCCTAAGTTGTGGATCGGGCATCGTATTCTAGAGTCTAGTCACACATTTGCTCAGTGGCGGCGGTTCGGGAGGGGGTCGACTCATCCACTTCCCAAATTCTTCCTCCACCGCTGGAATCGGCCAAATCAACCGCATTGATCCCCCAATAGCCGATGGGATTCGTACAGACTGCATTCCGCCCGGATCAAACACAGCTGGTACAGCTCCAAACTCAAAGACTACCAAAGTCAAAATATATAATCCAAGCATCGAAGATTCGGGTCTTGCACCACTAGCCGTCAGAAAACCACGCCCACCTTTGAAACCCTTGATAGTCATTCTCACCCAATTGGATAACATGAACAGATCTGTGGGTACCTTCCGTCGCAAGCCTAAAAATCAGCCCAGCGTTTTCTTGAATGCACACCACACTCGCCGCAAAACCGGAACTGCACCACCGAGTGTTGTCCTTGGCCATCTCCCCCTCCCTGGTCGTGCCAGCAGTTGTTTAGCCAAAAAGGAACACGTCCTTCTAAAGCTCCAGCCGCGACAAGGAACTACGCGTCTAACTCCAACCCACGATGAGAGCCCCAAGAATTGAAGCCCTCGCTAACAATAAAAGCCGAGACCAACCCCCCTGTGAAGCCGCACTACACCACCGTAAAAAAACCGAAGCCGGGACACAAAACGCCGTCGTGGAAGGCGCCGCGATCCCCCAAAACTAACCCTAGACTATCGCTAGGCCCTGCCGCTTTTTTGTAGATGCCAACGTGATTAATAACCAATCCTTTCACAATAATAGTTAAGGAGAGAATTAAAAAGCATGTTAGTACGTTGTGAACAGCGCGTGGTTTTTTTGTTGGCTCCTGCGCGTCCTGCGCCCCAACCAAATTATACTTGAGCAATGACCATCAACTGGAAATCCTTGTGATCTCTCTACCTTGATATCTCGAACTCGATGTCTTTCCACATTTCCAGGAATCTTAAATGTGAATGGTGATCCAAAATACTGGCAGGACATTGCTGAGCATATCCTATTTGACATTGGTTTGTGTCATTATGGAATATATGGCTAATGGTTCATGACTTCATGGGTTAATCTTGGGTTCAGTTAGTGGTGGCCTCGGTTCGGGCCGCCCGGCCGGGAACCGGCCCGGCTCGCTACTGTGTGGGACCAGCCCGGCCCGGTTTTTCGGTTTCGGGTCCGGTTCAGGCCTAGGCCCGGGGCTTGGGCGGTTCCGGGCTCAGTTACTCGGTTAGTGTTTTTGGCGGCCCGGCCAGGCCGGTTTGAGCCCGGGTCCGGGCCAAAAACTGTTTTTGTTTAATTTTTTTTTCATTTTTGGGGCTTTATTGAGTTGGGCTTGATGTTTAGGACTGGTTTGGGGGGTTTGGGGGGGTGGGGGGTGAGGGGGGAGAAAAGAAAAGAAAAAAAAAACAAACTAACCGGGTGGCCCGGACCGGTGGCCACCGGTTCAGGCTCGGGCCCAACAAAATTGACCCGAGGCCCAGCCGGGCCCAGGCCCGAACCAGGCCGGAACTGTAGAAAGAGTACCCCACCCCCCAAATCTTGTAGATGACGCGTTAATTCTAGTGAAATAGCATTTTAAAATGTTACCTTACCTATGTCACTGTGTGACCGACTGACTAACTCCTATATGTTTCACATATCAATCTTTTATCCGGCCATTCCTAGTTCCTACTGTCAAATAATGTAAAAAGTTGTGCAAATGTCTCCCTATAGTTATGCAACTTATTGCAACATGTAAGAACTAAAACTAGCTGCATAATATGTCACACAATATATTACGGCAATTGGCAACATGTCACACAATTGAGGAACAACATTAAGGAAAAATGAAAACCAGATAACATATTTCAGAATATGTTAAAAATGAGAGATCAAAAGTGCAATTTTCCATGCCACTGCACAAGCTCATAATTTTACTCCGCGAATCAAAGATGTTGTGATTTGACCTTATTAAACAGGTTCAAATCTGCGGAACTAATCAAGGCAGTGAGATACAAAGTGCATCAGATTGATGCCTAAAAAGTTTTACCACAAGTTACCTAGGAGAAACCCCAAAACTATATGTTTGCTTCTACACCAGAAAAAGGTATGGGAAGCCTTATCCCACAGATTCCATACAAAACTCATCACCTTGGGGGACCTCTCCTGTCATAGGGTCCCCAACCTCCTGTATGATATGGATCGCCTCCATAAAAACTATCTGAATAACCCACGTCAACACTCCCATTCAACATTCCATATGGTCCAACACCTGAAAGTGGTACCAAAAGTGGCAATTATACATCATATACATAATCAACATTTGAATGCACCAAGTTCAGATATTATTGAAATTTCAAAAAATGCACAAGTTCAAATCTTATTGGAATTTAATATGATAATAATAGTTTCACCAATTCCACGTGCTCTCCTATTTGCAGCCATCTGCTCTGCCCGGAGCCTTTCAATTTCACAAGCCACGGAGACAAGATTTTTCTTCATTGCTTTGTTTTGTTCAATTATCCACTTGTTTTCTTTCTTCTCATGTTCAAATTCTCTCCTATTTGTTATCAAATTTGAGTATGAGAAGATTTGCTCAAAATAAACTTAATAGAAACTGAATTCTGCACAAAAAACGAGATTTATCTCCAGACTTAAACCTTGTTTCATCAAGCTCTCTGTGCATCCCATCAATTTCAGACTTCATGGCAGAGAGTTCCTTATTCTCATTTTGCAGTTTATCAAGATCCTTTGTTAAACTTTGGACTTGGGTAGTTAATTCCTGTTGCAAAGCAGTAAGTTTTTGGAGTTCAGATCTGTAAGACTCACTCAACTTCCTCTCGCAGAGGTTCGGCAGAGTGAAGCTCTCTCTCTAGTCTCAATCCTCTTTCAATATACTCCCTTGCCTCTGCCTCATTGTCAGCATGCAGTTTAGAAATGGATTGGGTTATTCTTAGAATCTTATCTTTTGTGGCAGTCAACTCCCTTTCAAGAATCACATTCTCATCGAGTACATGCCGATTCTCAGAAACAATTCTTTGCATATCTCTGTGCTGGATTTCAATTTCCTCTTCAAGGACAGCAGGATGAGGATGAGGGAGTTGGCGGGGTCCTCGTTCCATAACAGCCTGTGGTGGGGGTGGGCCATCACGGTATCCTCTATAGTTATCATGTTGGCAAGACGGCAAACGGTTTCTACCAGACATTGCTGCAACTCTGGAAAACGTGACAAATGAATCTGAAAGAACACATTTTTCCAGGTGACCATACTTCGTGCTAAAACCAAACTAAGGCATAGCTTTTTTTAAAGAGAAGGTTCAAATAGAATGGACAGTAATTGGAGTATTGGAAAAACACTTGAAAATAAAAATTGTGGTTTGGAACTTGAGTTTGATGACTACAACAAACAGTTACACTAGAAAAGGAACCACAGACAAATTCTTCTAATGTCTATTGATTATTGAGACCAGTTAAGCATCAATTTACCCCCCCCCCCCCCCACACACACACACAAAGCTCACTAACAAGTTTACAACATATCTTACACATCACCCAGTTTTCTTTTGGCATGAAAATTAAAGAAAATTTACTTTTGCTGTAGCACTAAGCACTTGAGATCTAACAAAAAGTATCAAAGCAGGACACGAGTTTGAATCCCATGAAAGGCAAACAAGGAAGGCTGATGTTGAACTAAGATATTTGGACTAAGAAGTTGTTCTCTTCACCTGATCTGAATGTTTCTGATCTGAATTTTTTAAGTTCTGATCTGATCTGATATGAATTTTTCTGATCTGATCTGATCTAATCTGAATCTTTCTGATCTGATCTGAATGTTCCTGATCTGATCTGAATGTTCCTGATCTGATCTGAATGTTTCTGATCTGATCTGAATCCTTCTGATCTGATCTGAATTTTTCTGATCTGATCTGATTTAAATATTTCTAAAATTATAATTACAATTATAATTACTATAATTATAAATGTAATTACACATATATAATTTAAATATAATTATAATTATAATTATAATCATAATTATAAAAATTATAAACATAATTATAATAGGTATAATTATTTTATACGTATTACACTAGTTATTAATATAGCTATAATTATAATTGTAATTATATTTATAGTTATATTTATTTCTATAATTTTAATTTTAATTATAATTATAATATTTATTTCTATAATTTTAATTGTAATTACTCCGTATAATATGATAATAACGAAAACAAAACTAATAACAATAACAACAACAGCCATATTAGTAGTAAGAATAATAATAATCATGATAATGATAAATATCATAATAATAATAATAATAATAATAATAGTAATCGTAGTAGTAGTAATAATAATAATAAGAATAAGAAAGAAGAAGAAAGAAGAAGAAGAAAGAAGGAAGAAGAAGAAGCAGGAAGAAGGAAGAAGAAGAAGCAGGAAGAAGCAGGAAGAAGCAGGAAGGAGGAGGAGGAGGAGGAGGAGGAAGAGGAGGAAGAAGAGGAAGAAGAAGAGGAAGAAGAGGAAAAAGAAGAGGAAGAAGAGGAAGAAGAGGAAGAGGAGGAGGAGGAGGAGGAGGAGGAGGAGGAGGAAGAGGAGGAAGAGGAGGAAGAGGAAGAGGAAGAAGAAGAAGAAGAGGAAGAGGAGGAAGAGGAGGAAGAAGAAGAGGAAGAGGAGGAGGAAGAGAGGGAAGAAGAGGAGGAGGAAGAAGAAGAGGAGGAAGAGGAGGAGGAAGAGGAGGAGGAGGAAGAAGAGGAGGAGGAGGAGGAGGAGGAGGAGGAGGAGGAGGAGGAGGAGGAGGAGGAGGAAGAAAAGCGACCTCCTCTTTGGGACATCAATTTTTTAAAAACCTATTGGGGATGTTTGGTGAAAAGCGTTTCGGCCGAAAAATAACGGGTTGACCACTTTTAGCGTTTTCAAAAAGTGAAAAAGGTATTTGGTGAAGCCTGTTGGGCCACCAGCCATATATACATCAATGGACATCAATTTTTTTTGGAATATCTTTCTAAATCTATTATAGTGTATGCTTATGATAATGCCAACATTCTTGATTAGGACGAGACCCAAACCCGCGACCTCCTCTTTGGGACATCAATTTTTTAAAAACCTATTGGGGATGTTTGGTGAAAAGCGTTTCGGCCGAAAAATAACGGGTTGACCACTTTTAGCGTTTTCAAAAAGTGAAAAAGGTATTTGGTAAATAACTATCCGGCACTATCGTTTTTTGATGAAAACGCTGAAATGAAAACGCTGCATAAACCAGAATTTTGAGTTGGGGTTTTGAAAAATGACGTATTCTATTAATTTTATGACTAAATAGCTAAATTACCAAACATAACTTGCTAACATAACTTGTTATGTGCTAACCGGGTGAATCCCAAACACACCCATTATTTTGCCCATCAAGTATTAGATGGTGTTGTTCATAACTTCATATTCCGTATTTTTGTACTAAAACGCCGTCGGTTTGGTCAGTTATAAAACAAACGTTGTCATTCTTCGGAAACCATTCTGCGTTCCACAAACCAGCTCGACTCGTGTGTTCTCCAAACTTTCCTCTCCACTGTAGCCTCTCGCAGAGTCGTAGATCGCTGCTCCTCCATCTCCACCTTGCGAGTTCCATTCGCCACGGTCGTTTTGTTACAGCGTCTCCCGTCGCCTGCAATTCGCCAATTTGGGACCTCTTAACTCGTCTCCTGAGTCCTAGAGAGTAGCTAACCACCTCGCTAGCTCGCTGCGCACCAGCCTCCAGATTCCATATCTCTTCTACGCCTTTACTTCCTCTTCACTGGTTAGTCTTCTCCTTCACAACTTATAACCTAATTTTTGTAAGGGAGAATTTGAGTTTGCACCCCGGACTTTGCACCCAATTTGTAAAAACTTTGATTTTGCACCCCAACACATAACACTTCACAAAAATTTTCTAAATGAGATGCAAAGTCAAAGGATTTTGAAGTGGAATGGGGTGCAAAGTCAAAGTTTTTTCAAAATGGGGTGCAAAGTCCGGTATCATCCAAAAAGTGGGGTGCATGGGGTGCAAAGTCAAATTCCCCCTTTTTATAAACCTAATTTGCAATTCGCATCAATGATTCATTTCTCATAGCTAGCCTTGCGGTTTAATGGTTATTAATTCAGAATTGAGATTGAAAAAAATACTGGGATTTGGGAGATATGTTGTTTTGTTGTTAGTGTCTTAGTGGATTCTATACAAACTGAAGGTCTGCCTCATCAATTTTTGTTCTTTCTTCATAAACGAATTGGAGGAGCAATGAGTGTCAGAGGGTTGTGGCATCATTTTTTGAGATTTGGCACTATGACTTTTTGGTTAGTGTATTGATGCGGCAGTATGGTTTTGTCTTAATTTATTGGCCTCATTTTGTTTAATTTATTGGTGTATCAGTGCGGTTTTTTGCTTAGTTTATTTTTTGATGTGGCAGTTTTTTTCTTAATTATTTGTGTTCATATCAAGGATTTGTTGAGGAAAATTCTACTCCATTTATGGAGTTATATTAAGTAATATGAGTACTATTGTGTTCAGTTTAATAGTACTCTATTTTAATTTTAATTCGGTTTCGAACACCCAAAACACAAGGGTGTTCGAGCCCCCGTACAGATCAAATTATTAATACAGAAAACACAAACTATCTGCGTTTCAGCCTAATGGCAGACAGGCATTGCATTTTCTTTCCTATCCTCTTGTAATTATTCTTTGTCAGAACCTTAAAATATTAATAACACATAAAATATTAATAACACATAAAATTAACACTATTCAATTGGACTTTTTTCCCATTAACCTTCTCGGTTGTGTATATTTGCCATTCGCTGTTGTAGAGTTGTTGACTAATTAAACAGGAACTTTGTTTTGTCCATTTATTTTCTTATTTTTCATATTTACATTTGAACTGGACTGTTCTCAGTTTTTCTGTTCTGGTTTTCTGATAATTTGTAGCTTAGATTAAACGTGTTGAAATCAACATAGATATTAAGTGATTTATTTAAGTAGATAGATAAAAATACTCCTACATAGGATCTGATTATGAGTTACTCCCTCCGATTCTAAAAGAAGTTTCACCTTTCTTTTTCAGGCAGTACCAAAATTAAGTTCCACTTTCAAACATTTCCTTATTTGGCAAATTATCTACATCAAAACAGTGCCAAACAGTGCCAAACAAACAGTGTTCAAACAGTGCAAAACAGTGCACTTCACAATAAAGTCAAATTTATTTTCTTAATATGTGTGAAGTCAAAACCGGAACTTCTTTTAGAATCGGAAGGGAGTATTACTTTAGTAGTTGAGTATAAGTTTTCCATTCTAGTTAGTGTTCATGTTGCGATTTAGAAGTATTTAACTGATGTATGTTATCTTTTTATACCCAATTACTGTCTGTTTAAGTATAATTTTTAACTTAAGCTGATTATCCTCCAAGTTACTATCTTCCAACTCCAACCCAATCCTATAGGATCTTGAGTTTGACAACATAGTTAATACTAAGTACTTAATCAATACGCAGGAATATTGTAACTTTTTCCAGTCTTTGTTCTTTCTTCTTATGTTGCTGACTTGGTTTTCTGACTATCTGGTCTTTATTTAGAGAAATAAGTCCATTCATAGATGCTAGCTTTTCTAAGGTTGAGAGTTTTAGGTATTCGGAGTTCCTTGGCAGCACATAGTTTGGAGCTGCTATGCTCACTGCTCAGTATGCTCAATTTAATGGATTGAGTATCTTATACTTCCTCCGTCCCAAAATAAACCTCTTACTTTCCTTTTTTGTTTGTTTCAAAATATAAATGCCTTTTATTCCTTTCAAAGATAGAATTATGTTATTTATACTATGTATTATTTATTTCATTTCTAAATGAATCTCAATCACACAATTTCATGACTTGTGTTTCCTCAAAAGCTTATGGCTTCATTCACCCATAGTAACTGCTATTAACGAAGGTGTCACTTTTATTCTTTAATTTAAAGTGTAGCAACCAATGCCACATTTTGAGTTTTGCCGTGACAACAAGTAATATGTTCCAATGCCACTTTACGAGTGTTGTCGCAACAAGCAGTTTTTTTTGTTTTTATTATTACCAAAGCTTTTCATTTTTGTCATGAAATGAGCAAAAGTTGACAAAGCCTTTTTGCATGTACAAAGATTTGTGATGAGTTTCTACAACTTTTGAAAGAACTTGATCAGGCACAAAACATTGAATAATCCAACGGACACAACCGACAGCTAAAATGCCACCTAGTGACTTGATTTTTGAGAAAGACTCATTTCAGCAATATAATTGCATGGACACTATGATATTTCTTTTCAACAGCAGCTGGACTCTTACGGTTGGCGCTTAGCACAAGATAAGGCAAGTAGGATTTTCTTTCTTGGTCCCATAGGTAATTAGGTATACCCAACTCCTTAATATCATTGTCACCCATCTGCCTCAATGCATGCATATCCACCTCCTCAGCTTTAAAATTTATAGCATATTTGTCCAAACCCAATGAATGCAAGAATCCATCCACAGTAGGTATATCCTCGACCACATATGTGCTTCTCTGAACTAGACTACCAGGTTGAGGAATTGGTGCATGCAAAGGCATTATTGTCCTAGCAGGTACAGCTGTGTTTGGCAAATATGTAGAACTCATAGGGCGGGAAAATTGAGACATATCTTTGCTAATGTGTGAGCCCAGTCTAGGGTCATCATATGCCCTTACTGTAGGTCTTCTCTGCAACTCATCCCTCCTCATTGGGGGTGAAAAGCTTCTAGAGCTTAAAATTCCTTGTGATTTTCGCCTTAAGCGTTCCAAGGTCCAGGGTGAAAACGACCTTCTCGAGTCCACCGAAGGTAAAGCATCCACATTTCTTGCAGAAGGAACTTGTCTCATAATGTCAGAACTCCGACTCTGAGGCATGTGATATCTAACATCCTCCGGATCTGAAACATGCTGTCTGTTATCCCTGGGATCTAAAACTAGGGATTGAGACTCCCTGCCGCTGTCATGTATGTATTGTCTACCATCCCTACCCTCGAGCATCTGCTGTCTACTATTCCAATGGTCTGTGTAATGACGCCTAGTCTCCTTTGACTCAGTTAGTCAGTTATATATGGCTGTGTATTAGTTGGTCTACTTGAAGATTGTGCGGACCTTGAAAGCACATCACGCAGGTCAACTCCTTTATGTTTGGCATTACTCTGCCTTCTGTTGTTCAGCACACTTTTCCGCATGATTTTGAACCGAAGATCATCTCTATCAAGGCTTGTGTTATCAACACCACTATAAGTGTTACTGCTCCATCCGCTGCCATCTCCACGCCGACGCTTATTACAGAGTTGCGAAGTAGAACCCACAACACCTCCTATCCTATCTCTGACAGACCGTTTACTCCCAACTGCTGACCGAGAACCCGCAAAAGAAAAATCTGAAAGAGAAGCTGCCTTCTTTACCACCTGACCACTGCGACCCAAGGTTATCGTAACTCGTGATGATGGATGCTCCATTTGACCATTCGTAAACTTAAAAACCTTGTATCACCGATCAAACGTACGAATGCAGCTGTGTACTATATAGGAACGTCAAAATCACAAGAAATACGTTTAAATCATCATGAAAGATGTGGTGTTAGTCTCCCGTGGTGGAAGCAGTTTAATGTCTTGATTTATCTAAGAATTGCAGCCAGTGCCCCATCTTGAGTGCTGTCGCCAAGGTTTTAAATAGCCATAGCGACAGTGGTAGCGGTAGCGGTCATCGCGGTGGTAGCAGCCTATAGCGGCCTGTAGCCGACTGTAGCGGCTGCAGCGGCGTGAAATATTTTCAATTGCGCAAAACATAAATGTATTTTTTCACATCATTCACACAACATTTAATTTTGAGTTTCACTTCATGCATCACCATTAATGTATTTTTGACATCTTTGAATCAACATTTACACATTTACACATCAAACAGTTCGTGATGTACTGCCAGAAATGTCAATAGCGGGCTGTAGCGGGCTGTAGCGGGTGGCGTAGCGGATTTTTCCCGTGATTTGGAAATCACACACAAATAGCGGGCCGTAGCGGTAGCGGCCCCTTCCGCGACCGCTATATAGCGGCCGCTATAGCAGTAGCGGGCCGCTATTTAAAACCATGGCTGTCGCCACATCAACGAGTAGAAATGTTGTTATTTAGGTGCTGTTCTATTCGTCTTAATCTTATTACTTATTGCTTATTCTTATTTTATTCAGATCAGATCAGAAAAATTCAGATCAGATCAGAATCATTCAAATCAGATCAGAAAGATTCAGATCAGATCAGAAAAGTTCAGACATTATTTACCCATATTTGCCTCGTTCCTACTATTGACGATCTGTAGATGAAGATTAAATAATTAAAAATATAAACATATTTTGAAATTAAAAATAAAATAATAATTATATATAAAGAATTGCATTTAGTGTTTTTTTTTAACATTTGGAACACAATTACCTTAAATGCATTACTATTGTGTAATTGATATTATGTCAGACTACAAGTGTCACGATTATTCGTCACGAGTGCCACCAATGTCATGTCTCCTTGAAACATGTCATTGTGATCGCCACTGATCGGCAGAAAATTTTTCATAAAAATAATGAATACATTTTCTGACAAAGTAATAATAAGAAAAAATAAGGTTGATGTTACTGTAGCGGATCATTTTAGCTATTTTTTCATATAATGTTTCTTTATTTTATTAATATAATACGGAGTATAGTTTAAATATGATTTTTTTTTTATAAATTAGTAGAATCTTCCAATCCAGTAACTTCACCGTGAACTTCATAAATTTCAGCAGAATCATTCAATACAAATGATTACAAATTGCTCAATGCAGGACTAAAACATACATAAAATTCAAAAATAGGACTAAGTATATTTTATTCTGTGAATAGGATGAGTTTTATTATGAGAATAAAACATCGATAATCCTATTTATGAATTTTATTCATGTTTTAGTTGTCACAGGTGACTACAATTTCAAGTAGCAACCACAAACACTATTGTTTTAACTAAATAAATATTAGTTACTTTTTAAAAAAATAAATACTAGTTATATTTATCTTCCAAAAGTATCAAAATAATATTTTTATCATTTTCCCTTACTTTAGTGTATTATTAATTTTTGTAAGTCATATAAGCCATGAATATATTTAAAAATGATCAAATTATATTTTTGGCAACATGAATTTCTAGACAAAAAAAAAACATTCTAATTCTAAAGTATAAAATAGCTTAGAGGAAACTAACTACATTAATAACATGAGATAATAAAAAATGAAACCAGGGAAACATAATTTCCATTAAGTAGTTAAAGAAATCATGAAGTTGAGTGGGTCGATTAAAATAGTAATACGCTTGGCGTAAGAGGATTAACCGATAAAACAAGGATAATAAAATTGTCACACAAACATGGGTGCCGCAGCAGGCCTTACAAACAGTTCTTTCCTAATTTTCGTTGGAATTCAAGAAGTACTTTATCACCCTAAGTTCAAGTTTACTCGAATACTTTTCTTATCACAAAACGCTTATACCATTCAGCTGCCTTGATCCAAAGCCTAATTTCCCTTAGGTGTGAGTACTTGCGGTACTGGCATAATCTCTGCGTAATACGCCTGAAGAACCACTCGTGGGTGAAGAATATTCACCCTCTTAAGAAACACACTGTGAGGTATTGTTGACTGACCCGCAGGTGGTAACGTCACTTCATCGATACTGATTTGATAGAGCCAATACTTGCTCGGACTAAGGTGATAACGGTCGTTATCTTCGGCAAGATATCAGCTCACACTCATGCAATCGTGTTGGTGGGCTGGTATCTTGCCGGAGATAACGACCGTTATCACCTTAGTCTGGGCAAGTATTGCCTCTATCAAACCAGTATCAATGAAATGCCGGTACCACCTGCGGGTCAGTCAACAATACCTCCCAGTGTGTTTCTTGAGAGGGTGAATATTCTTCACCCACGAGTGGTTCTTCAGGCGTATTACGCAGAGATTATGCTAGTACCGCAAGTACTCACACCTAGGGGAAATTAGGCTTTGGATCAAGGCAGCTGAATGGTATAAGCGTTTTGTGATAAGAAAAGTGTTCGAGTAAACTTGAACTTAGGGTGATGAAGTACTTCTTGAATTCCAACGAAAATTAGGAAAGAAATGTTTGTAAGGCCTGCTGCGGCACCCATGTTTGTGTGACAATTTTATTATCCTTCTTTTATCGGTTTATCCTCTTACGCCAAGCGTATTACTATTTTAATCGACCTACTCAACTTCATGATTTCTTTTCCTACCCAATGGAAATTATGTTTCCCTAGTTTCATTTTTTATTATCTCATGTTATTAATGTAGTTAGTTTCCTCTAAGCTATTTTATACTTTAGAATTAGAATGTTTTTTTTGTCTAGAAAATCATTTTGCCAAAAATATAATTTGATCATTTTTAAATATATTCATGGCTTGTATGTGACTTACAAAAATCAATAATACACTAAAGTAAGGAAAAATGATAAAAATATTATTTTGATACTTTTGGAAGATAAAAATATAACTAGTATTTATTTTTTTTAAAATGTACTCCGTAACTAATCTTTATTTAGTTAAAACAATAATGTTTGTGGTTGCTACTTGAAATCGTAGTCACCTGCGACAACTAAAACATGAATAAAATTCATAAATAGGATTATTAATGTTTTATTCTCATAATAAGACTCATTCACTCCCATTTTAAGAAGTTTTACTCAAATTATTCGTTTAATAAGACCACATAAGTCCTATTCACAGAATAAAATATACTTAGTCCTATTTTTGAATTTTATGTATGTTTTAGTCCTGCATTGAGCAATACTTGTGTAATACCTGGATATAATATTTTAAAAAATATCAAAAAATATTTTAATATAAGTTAGGCAGTAAAAATGATTCGTCAGAATATCAATATAATACAGATCAAGTTCAAACCAGTTGGAAAATAAGATGAATACAATATAATATGCAAAAAAAACGGAAAAGGACTAGAGCTGAGTATAACATTATCGAAAACAGAGCTGAAAAGCACATCATATAAATACTAAATGTGGCTGATGTAGCTGAAAATAGTTGTTCCCAATGTAGCATTAAATAAAAATCACCGCTCAGCTAGGTATTTTCGAAAACAACATTAAAAAGTACTGCAACAAAATACTAAATCTGGCTGGAGTAGATGAAACCACTTTGTTCCCAAGGTAGCATTTAATATAAGCCACAGCATTTACGAAAACTGTCAAGTAAAGAACTTCTTTTATATACCACTTTGGTCAAGGTAGGTGAAAAAAACGTGTGTTCCCGAGGTAACATTTATAAATCTAATTGGCCAGTCAAATCAAATGTTTGAACGGTGTAGCTACTTACCAACGGATTTTAACTATCTTCACAGAGAGGATAGAAAAAATACTCATAAATGCCTCAACCACTACCTTAGGAATTCATCAATGAGACAGAGCAAAACTTTGAAGCTGAGCAGCCCTCACAAGGAGTGAAGCTAATAAACTGCCACCAGGCAACTCTTTTCAAGTCAAGGGTTAGTCAGAAATTAAACTTAGCATATGCATTCAGAACATATCATTGTGCTAATACAGGGATGACACGTCATGCATTCAAAATGATAACTTCATTCAACAAATCCTGTTCTGTTATCTAGATTTTCAAGATGAGTGAGTGTTCATGTCATATACATTCAACTGGGGGATGTTATTCGTGTGGGAAACGATGTGTTGGGGTTCTACTGGATGCATGCTCATGGTGTAGCTCAAATCATAGTCACTTTTTCTGTATGAAGCAAATAAACAAGAATAGGGGGTTGGTGGACTACTTATGCAAAGATTGTGCAGCAGGGTTGGATGCATCTCTTACAATACCAAGAAAATCTGCTAGGATTTTAAAACTGAATAGCATGTACTTTAATGATGATATGATTGTAAGCATTTCTTTTGATTGGACGACTAAGGGAAGACTTAGCTAAACACATGTAATAGGAAAGTGTCTACCATTCATGAGAAATGAATCTTTAAATGTTCAGATGTATTCCTAGCAGACGTGGATTTTGATGTACGAGTGTTTCAATGGATATGACATACTCCCTCCGTATCACATATATCTTCCCACTCCTAAAGTGGGTGAGATTAAGAATAGTGAAATGGAGTATGAATTATTGAGGATATGATAGGAAGATGTGAAATAATGTGATGGAATGAAGGATAAATCCAAAAAAAGTAGGTGTAGTAGTATATTAATTTTTAAATTATTGAGGGTATGATGAGAAGATTTAGAAATGGGAAGATATAAATGTTACGTCCAAAAAAAGAAAGTGGGAAGATATGAATGTTACGGAGGGAGTATGAAATTTACAACGAATGAACGAGTGTTTGAATGCCATTCAAATGTATTCCTAGCAGACGTGGACTTATATTTAAAACTAATGATGAATGAATGAGTGTTTGAATGGATATGATCATATGATAGATTTAGAATATGATATGTATATTGCATGCCATTTAAACTACTGGTGATTGGCACATACTAAATCCATGTGAACAAAACATACTAAATCCATGTGAACAAACCAGGTAATTTATGTACGACAATTTCAAATATGAGGAGGCTGACTAAATCAACTATAATCAACCGTAAGAGAACAAGTGAAGAGTTAACTAATCAAGGTATGATTAATACCAGTTCCATTTTAAAACATTTTTACTAGATAATGTATTGTTTTTTTTTTTGAAAGGGATAATGTATTGTTTTTAAGATGTGTAAATATAGTCATAGATTGACAAGGGAATAACAGGGCCTAGCAAATCCACTACTGATAACAGCAGTTTATCTTTTAATATAAAATAAAAGGCTAAAAGTATTGACAACCATATTGTAACAACCCGGGACTGATTTCAGGTAATGTAAATGTAACAACCATAAAGTATCCTTTAATGTTTTTAAAATTAAAAATATTTATTATAAACAGAAAAAAAACAATTATTAGATCTTGATAGATCTATTTAAACACATACGAGTGGTATGACAAAACAGCTTTGAATTTGGAGGTTGACTTTAAAAAACTAGATAATTGAAGTAGGATTTTTTTATACGTATTAGTCCATTCATAAACACATAATTACTTGGGCAACTTTTTAAGCGAGGTAGAGATATAAGAACAGGTCCATATAAGATATTGGTATGTCCATGGCCAATAGTCAGCATCTCAGTTAGTTTTGGCATAGCCAATGGGCTGCCAAACCACACAGATCCGAAGGCCTTATTTTGGCTGGCAGGGTAGTTGAGTGTTTTATAATGAAAATGGGACGTTTCTCAATTGAACAAACCAAATAAACACAAACCAGACAAAAAACCCTTGAATATTCATCGGAATATGAAATACTAAGTATGACTGCTCTTAACATATTTTAACATTTCTATATATATATATATATATATATATATATATATATATATATATATATATATATATATATATATGTTATAAATCTTATAAACAGGGGAATGATGATCAAGGCAATTTGAAATATATAGAAAATCATATATTTACAAATTTTATTGATAATAGCATAAAAGATCTTGAATACTACGTAGTATTTCAAAGAGAGCAATACACGGTTTGGGGTGGGCATTTGAAATGCTCACTTCCTGTGTAATGATTTGTAGAAGGTACAACACTTTAATTCAAAAGAAACAATCCAAAGAAACCCATTTATTTGAAAATTGTAAAACTCATATAGAAAGAAATAATTAATAACAGTCAGATATAAATCAAACCAATGATGACATTTGGAAAGATAATACCATAAGAATATATTAGATGTTTTAAGGTTTTCCCATGAACACAAAAATGACAGACTAATAAACTATTCACAAGTTGAGGAGAGGTATAGGAAAATGCTAGAGGTACACAAGTTGTACACAACTTGTACACACAATGTCGGTCACAGACAATTGGTACGGAGTTGCCTGTGATAACAGACAAGAGTTGTCTGTGTACACAGACAAATTTTGTCTGTTTCCACAGACATTTACTTTTTTGTAAAAAGTACTTGTCAATGTCAGGCGGCTCTCAGTGTACTTTTTACAAAAAAGTAAATGTCTGTGGAAACAGACAAAATTTGTCTGTGTACACAGACAACTCTTGTCTGTGGTCACAGGCAACTCCGTACCAATTGTCTGTGACCGACATTGTGTGTACAAGTTGTGTACAACTTGTGTACCCCTAGCATTTTCCAGAGGTATATGGGCATGAGAACAGAAATGCATACTATTCACAAGTTACTAATAGAGTTTCCATCTGAAACCCATTCATCAAACAATATTTGCAGTTCATTCCTAAAAACCAATCATCCATGTAAACCAGACATATTTCTGGTAGTGCAATAATACAATGTACATAAGATGTTACACAACTTTGGGCAACCCATTCATCTCACAAAAGTATTTATAATGAATGGATATAGATTATGAGAAGAATGTACCTTAACCCATTCATTTTAAAAAATCAGTACATTCAGTCACGACCAAACAACTCTTAATAAGAGGGCTCAAATTATACCGAGGAGATATCATTTCACTGAAGCCAACCAAGCTCAAGTGAAAATAAGTGTATAGGGTAAAGAGGTAATAAAAGATTACAATTATGATTGCTACTGATGGAAAAGAAAGACAATAAGATACTTACCGCAGATCCAATTATCTCCATTAATTCAGCAGCAGCAACAGCACGACGAAGAGGTTCCCTCAAGCTAACCAGCAGATTAGAAATATGAAGTGCTTTCTTTTAATCTCACATGGTGACATATGACACTAAAATGGTAATAGTTAAAGAAAATATGCCACAAAAATGAAGCAAATGAGAATCTATGGGCTCATTATCATTTTCTTCTTTCTACTTTTTCAACAACTTAAAGAAAATTTTGAAAATCAGAAAATATGGTTTTGCATTTTCTTGGTGGTTTTCAAAGTAATATCATTAGTGTAAGTGTGATTACATTTTACCTTATTATAATATATATCTTAAAATAGCAAAGCCAAAATATGTAAACTGGCAGCCAGATTGAGGGGGGCGGGACTACGAAACACAAGTAAAGCCGCAAGCGGGTGTGTATGCATGAAGAGAGAAATTTTACCTCAAAGGGACCAACAATACATACTTTATAATCCGCATTTGACAAAAGCCTCAGTGTGTTGCAAGCAGCATATAACTGCTCAGTTATTGTAGTTATGAAGGAAACAGTGCCCTCGTGCCCATGTATCCTAAAATTCTTAGATATCTCTATATGGTTGTCCAAAGTTCTATGAAGCCCTGTAAAGCATTTAGCTTGTTTTGTTTTTTTTAAAGATCAACATGCCCACTGAGAATGGAAAAAAATTCCATGTGTAAGAGGAGCATAAGTGAGTATTATGTCATACCACTATGCCAAGCATCTCTTTGTAGGTGCAAACTTCTTTCACATTCCAACATTGCTTTTTGACCTGCCATGGCCATCATATACTCCAGCGAAGGTGGATTCTGGTCCGGCGTCGAATTGATTGCAATAGATTAGCACATCATAGGAAAACAGATCTGCTCTCTGGTGCAACTGCTGGTGTTCCAATATCTATGGGGAGTAGCGGATGATTTGTCATTAACGGTACCTATAGGATAAGATGAAAACAAGAGGGTTAATGAAAAGAGGTACTATGGCATGACCGTAATGTACAACCCCATTAAAACACAATGTTACACCAACACATTTTTTACGCCTAAAATGTCTTAACCCTCATTGCCTCTTATAGTTGTTTAGAACTTTAGATATGCAAACTTCTTCTTATGTTACATACTTATATGTGAATCAAAGCTTATCTATTACGGAGTATTTGATGTTGCTGTTGTGGGAAAAAAGTAGTGCATCTCCTTTAAATAAATGGGCACGCTGGTTTAAGCACTCTATTTCCGTTATGCCATTATTTATATTTCTTCCATTTAATTGGTTATCTGTTTGATAACCCAAACTTAGAAGGTTAAATTAAGAAAACCTTTGTTCTGCAAAACTAACTACTTTAGAAAAAATGGGAAAGCTAGAAAACTTCTGAAGATTATACCCAATTTAGTCTTCTTTCTTAAAGAATTAAACATTTACCTTGTTCACCCTAAACATTTTAGGATGCATTTAGAGAAGTCTTAGTTTGTACTTTTTTCGCCTATAATTCATCTGGGCAAAAATATTTTTACATACAATGTGTACTTAATGCGCAGCCACACACAATGTGTCTTTGTACATAGTCTATCTTATCCAAAATTCAAGAATGGGTCTGCTAGATGCAAAATAGTCATCTATAGCACACAATGCCAACTACCTGCATATCTTGAATCTATGCAAAGCTTACTGGTTTATACAGAATGTTTTTAAAGCACAGAATATCATATATAATACTTACAAAACTAATTATTCCTTGAATATGTTATTTCTCTTGAAAAGTATCTAGACACTTTATTGAGTTTGTGAAAAAGATAGTTATATGAAGCAAATGTAATCAAAGTCATCAGATTCATAAACGAATAAAATCAGATACTCCATTAGAATTTAGAACTAACTTTATCAGAACAATCTTAAGCTGATAAAATCAGAACGAACATAACCTGTATTTTCATTTCATTGTTTTTCAGGTAATTAAACATGTAAACCAGGTGACGGCAACACAAAAGTCCTACATAGTGAATATAATCTAAAATTACTCATATCATAAAGTGTTCTCTGAATGCTATTTGTAATGTTTTCATCTTGGTAACACTAATTTTAGGAGACTTCTATATGGTCTGGCTAGTGGCCAATGACTTACATATGGACTGGCTTTTACACTCGGGTATCTACCAGATAGCATTCAGCCATTTAGGGAACTACGGAGTATAATTCACTTTTGTGATGCCATTTCTACTTAGCATGTTCAAAAACTATTTTATTTCGTGATGCCCTTTCTATTTAGCTTGTCCAACAACTACATAATTAGATAAGTTTAATTGAGTCAGATTGGAACTCCCATGGTCTTGAGGAAAATTGATATCCAGAAAAGCAAAAATCTAGTTACAAGCTCAGAACAATTCACCCCATATTGTATATAAGTCATGCTAAAGTCAAAGTAAAACATGGAAAACTCAACTAACTATATAACTAAATGATTGAAATAATATATCAGGTGAAGAAGAAGCTAAACACATGACAAAATACTAAAGAAATTTTGATCTGAAGATGCTTCTCAGCATATGAATTGCATAGTTAGGACCCTTAACTTGATCAAAACATGCATTTCAACTTAATCACCCAAATACTGTTGTGAGGAAGGAGATGAGCATAGCCGAGCGAAAATCGGAGAAACGACATGGAAACAAACCTTGACAGTTGGCTGAAGGAGAGGAAAACGACGGGAGCTAGAGCGGTGTGCCGGTGTGGTTAGGGCGAAACC